ACGCCTACCAGATCCACCCAACTCCCATCTTCACTGGACACTTTATGTGCACACACGTGCAGACAGACAGACAGACAGACGGGTGGATAGAGATACAGATATATCCCACTGACTTCAAGTTGTGCTGCTATACATAGGCATGGGGCAATCTATTGGAGCAAGGCCCATCTACCAGGGCCACATCTTAAAAACAAACAAACAAAAATCCCTCTCCATCCTCTCCTCTTCATCCTCTCCATCCTCTCCATCCTCACCATCCTCTTCATCCTCCACCCTCTCCATCCTCTCCGTCCTCTCCATCCTCTCCTCTTCATCCCCTCCATCCTCTCCATCCTCTCCGTCCTCTCCGTCCTCTTCACCATCTCCGTCCTCTCCACCCTCTCCGTCCTCTCCACCCTCTCCGTCCTCTTCACCCTCTCCATCCTCTCCATCCTCTCCGTCCTCTCCATCCTCTCCGTCCTCTCCACCCTCTCCGTCCTCTTCAGCCTCTCCGTCCTCTCCACCCTCTCCGTCCTCTCCACCCTCTCCGTCCTCTTCACCCTCTCCGTCCTCTCCGTCCTCTTCACCCTCTCCGTCCTCTCCATCCTCTCCATCCTCCAGAAGCCATCAACTGCTTATAGAACCCAGTTCTCATATTTTTCTCAGCCTGAAATTTTTAGACAAGGTTGTTACTTCTTTCAAACTGTTTTCTACCCTCCCCACTTGGAACCCCATTAGGTGTGTATTGGACACTCCCTATCATCTCTGTGCTTATTTTTGTTGGCCATTCTCCCCCTACGCTTCATCTTCAAGAATCTCTCTTGCTGAGTCTTGAAGGTAACCCGTATTTCTCTCTAAAGTATTTAATCTAGGGTATTTTGTTCCAGGTACTCTATTTTTATCTGAGGGAGCTCCGTCCAGCTCTTCGTATCTTCGTTTCCTGGCCCTTCTCGTGTTTGGCTTTCTGTTCTCGTAGCGATGTACAACGGTTGTTTTAAGGCCTCTATGTGCTAGCTGCATCATTTCTGTTATCTGTTTCCATCAAACTATTTTAAATCTTTTATATTTGTGAGTCATATTCATTTGGAATCTTTCAGTGCCTGGCATATTTATCGGATGTTGCATGTGTGCGCATATCTACATGATCATCTCTATGTGCACGTGGGTTGCACATGCATATTTAGATACATGTGTGCATGCACTTGAGAGGCCAGAGGTTGAAGTAGCTTGTCTCCTCCAGTTGTCATCCACTTTATTTTTTGAGACAGGATCTCTCCTTGACTTTATTCTCACTAATCCAGCTATACGGGCTCTTCCTGTCTCTGCCTCCCCAGTGCTGGGATTGCAAGTGTACATCGCCCTGTTAGGCTTTTTTAAAAATCATGGATGCTGGGGATTGAACCCATGCCCTTATGCTTGCCAGCAAGCATTTTATAGCTGAACCGTGTCTCCAGCTCTTGGGTGATAGACATTTCTAATTCATGTTGCTAACTGTTAGATCCTGTTGTGATGCTGAGAAAAAACTGGGTTGTGTTCTTGAGATGGCTGAACACTCTAAGGATTGCTCCGGTCCTTTGTAGGCTTCTTTGTTTGCTTGTTATTGGTTTTGTTTGTTTGCTTGTTTGTTTTGAAGCACTGTTAGGGCAGGCCCACAGCATCCTTTGGACTTGGCTTAATTTAGTTCAACTCTTATGGTGTCATTTTCCTGAAGATTCTCTTCAGGGTTCTGCCTATTGTGAGTCTCTCTTCTCCGGCTGCTGGGAACACTGTGATGGCAGCTCTAGGGGCTGTGCAGCTGCTGCCTGCCAATAGTCACTGCTCTCATTTGTGCAGAGACCATGAAAGCCTCAGGCTCCCTGTGGATCCCCTAAGCACCTTCTCTCTCTTTCCTCCTCTCTATACCTTCCCTGTTCCAATACTCTATTTTATAGATTCCAGCCACCTCAACAACCCTAAACTCCCAGCTTTTTCTTTCTCTTTCCCTCCCTCTCTCTCTCCCTCCCTCCCTCCTCCTCCTCCTCCTCCTCCTTTCCCCTTTCTTTCTTTCTTTCTTTCTTTTTTTCTTTCTTTCTTTCTTTCTCTTAGCAAAACATCTAGCTTCTGTTTGGATTGGTTTTCCCTCCTGGTGCCCCAGTCCAGAATTTGCCTTCAGGCGGAATGTCTCTTAGGAACCAAAGCCCTATGATCTGTTGCCTAATGTCTGAAAAAAGCATTGCTTCATACGTTTTGTCTGGTTTCTAAGTTGTTTAACGGAGGAAAGCAGTTCTCACAGTGGTTAATTCTTCCTGGGCAGTAGCAGAAGTTCTATGAATTGCAAAATAACTTGTTAGTAAATGGTGGTCATGTGACCAACTTTTCAATGACCAGAAATAAATAAGATTATTTATAATAAAAATTGAATAACTAGGTTAATAAATAGGATATAAGACCACTAAAAGCCCCATAAAACACCGTTTTAGAAAAGAATTCTATAGTGACTGATAAAAGGCCTTGGGTCTGCTGCTGTGCATAAAATTAACTAGTTCCCCATGGGAACATTATGTATGGGGATGTGGGGGTGGATTTGTCTTAGCAAGGGTGTGGCAGACTTTACACCTTGAACCATGAGATCTGAGGCTTCTCCCTAGTCAGCCAACACTATAACCTTTCAATTGTTCCCTTTTCAATGGTCAAGTCCTCCAATGTTTCAGAACTTGGATCTAGGAGTTTGTCAACCCTGAGAGATTCACCTGTGATAGGTTCCTTTGTGAATTTCTGTAACTAAGTGCCGTCTTTGGGATTGCATGCCTGCCCCATATGGCAATCTAATCTTGTCCTACATAAGGTTCCTGAACTGGGTATTCATGGGCCAAAAGAAGGGTTTCTCAAGACTCAACTCCAAAAGCTTTCTTGAGTATGTAATGTATCATATATCTCTAACCTGGAAGTCTCAGTTTCACATGCTGGGGACAGCGGGCAATGACTCGAGATGTGTGGTTGTTGGAGATGTGTGGTTGTTGGAGCTGGGAGGAAAGTGCCAGGCATTCCACGGAGCATCCTACAGTCACGGAATGGCCCAGAGGGAGGAGAGTGCCAGGCACGCCACGGAGCATCCTACAGTCACGGAATGGTCCAGAGGGAGGAGAGTGCCAGGCACGCCACGGAGCATCCTACAGTCACGGAATGGCCCAGAGGGAGGAGAGTGCCAGGCACGCCACGGAGCATCCTACAGTCACGGAATGGTCCAGAGGGAGGAGAGTGTCAGGCATTCCACGGAGCATCCTACAGTCACGGAATGGCCCAGAGGGAGGAGAGTGCCAGGCATTCCACGGAGCATCCTACAGTCACGGAATGGTCCAGAGGGAGGAGAGTGCCAGGCATTCCACAGAGCATCCTACAGTCACGGAATGGTCCAGACAACAAAAGATTGTCAAGCCAGGAAGACACGTCTTTCGCTTTCCAGAATGGTGGGAAAGGCAACATGAAAACACATCTCCTTTCAGACTGCCACAGTGTAATCTGCTCTGTGATTTGTGACTTTGCTCAGAAGGGGATGTCTAAAATAAGAGTCTTTTCAGTTGTAATTCTAACAAAATTAGAATATGAGTAGCCATGCCTTGTTTGCTTCTTATCCAGTCATCTGCTCAGACCACAAAAGAATCCAAATGCTTGATGGGAGACAGTGGACTTCAGTTTTCTCGTGATTGCTCTGCCATGAAGCTGGTAAATAATTCAGAAGCACAGTGGAGGCCAGTGACCGGGCAACACCTGGTGCTGTATTGTCCATGTCTAAGCACACGGACTCCAAAGATGACACTCTGCACCTGTCACCATTGTTTTGCCTTAATCATGGGTCTAGTGTTCCTTGACTACGGATTAGTAGTAATTAATATTTGTCCCAAGTCTCCTCCACAGAGAACCCTGTACTGGCGGGGCACTTTCAAAAGCACCAATTGGAAATGGCTCCCTCATAAGGTCCTCCACTGTCCCCAGGTTGGTTCTCTCTCGTAAAGGATGGATTGGTTTTCAAAAGCAAGGGTGGGACTCAGGCATATCCAATCTGTAACCCATGGACCACATATGCCTCCCCTTCCTCTCTCTACCACCCCACCCCTCCTCCTCTTCTATCTTTGTAGCCAGACTGGCTTCCAGCTCCTGTTCACCTAGCTCGGCATTCCAAGCCCTGAGATGTCTGGCTTTCCTTCTCTGAAGATCACACTATTCTTATTACAAACATCTTCTGAGAGAAGTGACGCCTTCCTCAGCCCATTTCTCAGTCCCTTCCCTAGAACCTGACAAGCCCATTGCACCTCTGACAATTTAAAAACCAAGCCAAGCTCAGGGCAACTCAGCTGTCTGGACATGGAAGACTCCTCCTCCACACACTGAGAGACAAGAGCAAATAGCTACAAGATAATTAATACAGAGAGACAACATGGGTACTCAGCCCGGAACCACCTAGACTGAAACAGCTGAAGCCAAGAGCTAGCTGTGCAATGGTGGCGCACGCCTTTAGTCCCAGCACTCGGGAGGCAGAGGCAAAGGGATCTCTGTGAGTTCGAAGCCAGCCTGGTCTACAAGAGCTAGTTCCAGGGCAAGCTCCAAAGCTACAGAAAAACCCTGTCTCGAAAAACAAAAACAAAAAGAAAGAAAGAAAGGAAGGAAGGAAGGAAGGAAGAAGGCAAAGGCAAGAGCTATGTGGAAAGATCCTAGGACACGAACTTTGAGGAGGGAAAGGGGGAAGATATGACTCATAAGTCAAAAATGAAGTTTTTTTAAAGAGCTTAGTAATAAGATTCTGGAGAGTGAAGAGATTTCTTTTTTTACCTAGAAATTATTAAACATACTTTATCTCTGTTTCTAAAGTACTCATTACAATGAGTTTAATGTATTTATTAGAGTATTTTCTATCTTAGAATGTTGTGATATTTATAAGCAGAGAACGACACATAATAGAATGTGACGACATATAATTAAGATAGTAAATGTATTGTAAACCTGTGTGTGCATGTTTGTCAGCTGGCCTACTTGCTTTCCTGCAGGGCCCAGTGTGGGAGTGCGTGGAGCGCTGAGTGCCCTCTGGTGGTGAAGTGGAATCAACACCATGTGTGACCTGAGATGCCCACTCTCGATCACGTGGTAGCCGCTGGCAGCAAGGGGCCAGCTGAAGAATGTCTGGTGTTCAAATATGACTACTGAAAGATCCTAACTGAAACGTCCCTCGCTTCTACTGGAATCCCTCTTCGACCCTGGGTTTGGAGTCTGGCGGCAGCTCTGAGATGGGGCCTCTGAAGGAAAAACTTCAGTTGTTTCTGCATCTTTGCCAGGGAGTAGCCGCAACTGAGTAGGCGCCCGTGGAGGGGGCATGTGGTGACATGGAGCTGGAAATCAACTGCTCTGAATTCTGTGACAGTTTTCCTGACCAGGAGCTGGATCGGAGACCCCTCCATGATCTTTGCAAGACAACCCTTGTAAGTGAGCAGCCATGGGCGTCAGTGCTACTCATGTATGGGAGTGGGGGTGGGGGTGGGGGTGGTGAGGGTGGGGCTGGTCGGGGGAGAGTGATGGGGATGGTGGAGCGAATGGGAGTGGTGGAGAGGATGTGGGTGGAAATGGTGATGTGGATGGTGGTGGAGATGGTGTGCTGGGCATGCGGGTGGTGGTGGGGATGGGGTGGTAGAAGAGGAATTGCCCATGTAGAACAAGCATCTCTCAGCTTTGCACTTTCTCAAGAGCCTTCATTCTTGTTTTATTTTGTTTTTCGAGACAAGGTTTCTCTGTGTAGCCCTGGCTGTCCTGGAACTTGCCAGGTAGATCAAGCCAGCCTTGAACTCACAAAGATCCACCTGCCTCTGCCTCCCGAGTGCTGGGATTAAAGGCGTGCGCCACCACCGCCCCGACCATCCTTCATTCTTAACAGCTTCTTCTTCTTTCTTTTTTATGCACCTCCAGATTGACTCACAACACAGCGGTGCAGATGTCTCTCCGCTGTCTCCCGCCCTCTTGGGGGTTGTTTGGACTTTTCTCAGCTGTGGATTACTTCTGGTGCTTTTCTTTCTTACTTTCACAATTCGCTGCAGGAAGAACAGGTAAGCAACTTCCTGCCTGGATTCTCACCTCCTATAGCCAGTACTGTCAAACCCAGAGTGCTAACATCATCTTGGCCCCACGAGCAGCTTAGCCAGCATCCACCCCTGTGAAGACTGTGATCACAGGGGTCTTGTCTCCCGTGCTCCCCACAGTGCCTCCAGCATTTAGAACAGATTGATACCTAATGGTCGCTCAGTAAATATGTCTGGTGGTCTTGGAGGGGAGACCAATCCAAGCCGTGAATGCTGCCAAGAAAATGACTGGGGAAAGCACATGTTTCGGGGTGAGAGAACGACAAGATTTCTATCATGTAAGCTAGTGCCCGGTCAGCAGATTACACAAGCATGGCATTGTCTCCCATGTGGTTCGCTCCCAGGGAACCAGTAGCTGAAAGCATTCCGGGGCAAGCGTTGTCAGCGGAAACAAAGAAACTTGGGGCTGGAGAGGAAACCTGACTGACTGAGTGCCTGCTTAGCATTTACCAAGTTCTGGGTTCAGTCTCCTGAGTCATGTACAACCGGGTGTGGTGACACGTGCCTGTAATCCCGGAACTCAGGAGGGGAGGCGGGAAGATCAGGAGTTCAATGTCATTGTTTTAGGGTTTTCTTGCTGTGAAAAGAAACCGAGACTAGGTAACTCTTATAAAGAGAAAGGTTCCATTAGGGTTGGCATACGGTTTCCGAGGTTTAGCCTATTAGATGAAGAACGCCATGGAGGACGTGCTGGAGAAGGAGCTAAGAGTTCTGATCCACAGTCAGCAGGAGGAGACTGGATACCAGCCTGGGTGTAGCTTGAGCTTGTAAGACCTCCAAGCCTGCCCCAACAGTGACATACTTCTCCCAACAAGGCCACACCTACTCCTACAAGGTCACACTTCCTAATAGTGTCACTACCTATAAGCCAAGCATTCAAATTCCTGAGTCTATGGGGCTATTCCTAGTCAAAGCGCCAGTCATCCTTGACTATAGCGAGTTTGGGATAGGCTCTTCCCTCCTAGTCAGTGGGATGGCTCAGTGGGTAAAGGAACTTGCTGCCAAGATTGACGACCTGAGTTTTATCTCTGAGACCCCACATGGTGGAGGGAGAAAACTAGCTGTTGTAAGTTTCACACACACACACACACACACACACACACACACACACACACACACACTAAAAAACAGAGTAAGATTTAAACTTCACACTCCCATAAAGGAAAGAAAGCCTTAACCTGGGAATACCGCGCCGTGGGCTCCCACAGTGCATGCAGTGGCCAGTTCAGTGGCTGCACGGGCTGTGCCTTCCCTACCCATGGAGCTGAAGGAGCAGAAGAGGACACAGAGGAGACATTTGCCCGTGTTAAGAACAGACAAGCGCAATCCCTCGATTGCTGAAGCACTGGGTCTAGAGTCCACTTTAAGTTTCAGTGACAATGCTGTCCTTTGAGGATGAATGCCGTCGAACCTACACCTTGAGATTTAAGACGACAAAGGTGAACAGTGATTCTGGGTACACGGCTTCATGGATATTTGCTGAGGATTAGTGTTTGAACTGGGAGAATTAGTATTTGGTTAGCTATAAAATTAAATGTAGTTTGAGCGTTATGCTTTCAAGAACAACCTAGTCTTTTTCTTCTGACCAAGACCCATAATTTTTATATAATCGTTCACAAGGCAAGATTTATCAAACATGGGTGTAAAGATGGCTCAAAGGTTAAGAGTTTTGGTTGCTCTTCCAGATGACTCAGGTTTGATTCCCAGCTACAGGATAGCTCTCATCCCTCTGTAACACTAGTTCCAGAGCACCCAAAGGCCTCTTCTGGCCTCTGCAGGTACCAAGCACACATGTGGTGCACAGATAGGCATGCAAGCAAAACACCCATGCACACAGAATTAAATTAAAGTTTAAAAGCTTTATCAAACATGCATGCATACTACTAAAACAGGAACACCTGCTGGGTGTGATGATGCACGCCTTTAATCCCAGCACTTGGGAAGCAGAGGCAGATGGATCTCTGAGTTCAAGATCAGCCTAGGCTACAGAGTGAGTTCCAGGACAGCCAGGACTACACAGAGAAAACCTGTCTCAAAAGAACAAAACAAAACCCAGAAACACCTATGAGCAACACTAAAGTGGAGGCGCCTATATTTTTGTCATTCCACTAAAGATTTTCTGCCTGTCTTGTTTTCAGTGGGAGCATGACTTGGCATAATGAATGAGATTATAAGAAGCCCCGTAGATCAAATTACAGTGTATGGCGATGTAGTTTATGAGATCTGAAAGGGAAGATGAAAGAATCCATTTTTTGAGAGTACCTTACTGAACATAAAATTTGTTCAAATGAGCAACATCACAATCAGATGGTCTGGCTTATTTCTGTCGAGGTCTCCTGTGCATGCGTGCTATATGTGTGTGTGTGTGTGTGTGTTCCTGCATATGCGTGTGCGAGTGATTAATATGAATGCCAAAGGAAGAAAAGTATATTACTAAAACAAAATAGTATAATGATGGTTAGTTGTAGACATTGCATTTTTTTTTTATTTTAAAGTAAAATTAACATAGTCACCAACAGAAAACCAGTAAAGATGTAGGAAACCTGACCAAACTGGTACTTGTATGACCCTCATCCCAACAACAGCCAGGCTCACATTCTTAACAAGGACACGCACAACATTTGCCTGATTTACCTAGAAAGATTCATTGATCCTCATTACAAAAGTCCTTAAGATCTCCATGCTTTCTTGAGAAGGCTAAGACTCAGCTTTTCCTCATTCTTTCCATTTCTGAGAGCGCTGTATTATTATCTGAGTGAGGCTGATCCTGTTACAGTCAGTAGGAAATGTTCAGTGAACTGAATACTTATATGGCCAGGATACCGTGTAAAATGTGATTTATGGGTTTCAGAGACCTTAAATTTTATCTGTCCCCTGGGTAAAGAAACATGAACAAGTCGAGGTACATTCTATTTGGGGGGGGAAATGACTTTCAGGCAGAAATGGGGCTAGAGGGGAGAGAGAGGACCTGTAGAAAGGGTTGGGGTCTGGGGAAAGGTCAACAAAACAAAGAATATATGAAAATGCCAAAATAAAATCCATTGCCTTTATACTGATTTTTAAGACACTGGTTTTAAAACCCCGTGTTGAAGCCCTAATGCCTTGCTGCTGGGTAGGACTTGTGGTGTTTTCGTATTTATTGCTCCAGGGCCGTCATCTTTGTGGTTTGATTCATTGGAGCTGAAAGCAAGGTGATGGGAAGGACAGGCCAGCAATCCCAATCACTTAGGGCTGAGGGAAAGCTTGTGCACGGAGTTCTGGGATCATCGCTGTAACCTTTGATCTTGTAATTGCTAAGCAGGACAGGAGAAGAGGAAGCAGTCCAGCTGGGAACAGACACTGGCCATGTAGCTCATGTTAGGATGATGTCAGCAGGGGAACAGACACTGGCCATGTAGCTCAAGTTAGGATGACGTCGCAGGGTCAGGGGCTGGATGAAGCAGAGGGGCCAGGAACAGATCCTGCAAGAAGCTGCGATTCACAGAAGGAAAATATTATTTGGGTCGTCGTTTCCAAGGGATTGAGCAGTGAGCTAAGAGCAGATGTAGTATTTATGAGGTCAGATGCCACTGGTGTGTGGGAACAGGGCGAGAAAGGAGACGCAATGCGGATGCAGGGTGCTGTGTCGGGAGGTCTTTCCTGGGTCCTGCCTGTGGAAAGGAGTACGGTGGGAGTGTATGAAGACTAATGAGGTAGTAGGGTTAATAGTGGGGTCTCAGCACAGGGCCTAGATGGACATCAAGCCCAGACGAACTGCTCACACCATCCTTCAAACATCTGTTGTATGGGAGCTTACGTACCCAGCCAAGCATAGTGGCATAAGCCTTAGGAATCAGAAGCTGGAGGATCACCGGTTCAAGACCAGCCTGGGCTACATAGTGAAATCCCTGTCTGAGAAAACCAAAACTAAATAAGTAACTAAAACAAAAAGAGACGCATGGGCTGGCAAGATAATAAAGTGGTAAAAGCACTTCCTGCCAAGCCTGTTCACCTGACTTCAGTCCCAGGGCCCATGAGGAGGAAGGAGAGAGCCGACTCCCACAAGTTTTCCTCTGCTCTCCACATGCATTCCATGGTATGCGTGCACATGCACACAAACAGACAGACAGACAGACAGCTGAACACAACTGTCATTAGCCTATTACAGCTGTGGTGGATGGCATTTACTGAATTGGGAGAAGGGAGTTTTAACTCCCTTACCAAATATTGAGATCCTTGAACTCTTTTTTTAAAAGAAAAATTAAAGATTCGTTTTTATGCTCATTGGTGTTTTGTCTGTAGGTGTGTCTGCACACCATAAGGGCACGCAGTGCCCTCAGAGTCAGGAAAAGGACACCATATCCCCTAAAATTGAAGTGACAGGCAGGTGTGAGTTACCATGTAGATGCTCGGACTCGAACCCTGGCCCAGTACTCTCAACCACTGAGCCATCTCTCCAACCCCCCTTCCTGGATTTTTAATATTTATTAATTTACTAGTGGTGCTGAGGGTCGAACCCAGGGCCTTGCTCGTGCTAGGCAATTAGTCTGCCATTGGCCACACCCCACCTCCTGAGTGTTTTCTTCATTGCTCTCCATTGTGCCCAGATTACCCTGTTTCCCAGGGGAGCACGTCAGCTGCCTGGAATAAAAGCAAGTCCAAGTCCCGGGATAAACTCTTAGAACGCAGCTTCAGGTCTACCCAGACTGCGCATAGCAAAGCAGCTGCTTTCCACCATAGCCGCTCCCCTCGTGTTTGCCCCCTCTCCGGGCCCCAGGCATGACCTGGGAAGTTCCAGATCCCCAGCCCTTCTGGTTGTGGTTCTTCCAACTGTCCTCTCAATCCTGTCACCCCACTGAAGCGGGGCTGTCCTTGGCTCACTAGCGCCACAGCAATGGTGGGCCACCCTTCCTGAGTCAGGTTCTTGTTACCTACAGATCTGTGAGTTCAAGGCCAGGTTGGTCTTCGCACAGGGTTCTGCGCAAAAT